CCCTCCCTGTACCCCTAACCCTGACCCTGTCTATAAAACTACCCCTCCCTGTACCCCTAACCCTGACCCTGTCTATAAAACTACCCCTCCCTGTACCCCTAACCCTGACCCTGTCTATAAAACTACCCCTCCCTGTACCCCTAACCCTGACCCTGTCTATAAAACTACCCCTCCCTGTACCCCTAACCCTGACCCTGTCTATAAAACTACCCCTCCCTGTACCCCTAACCCTGACCCTGTCTATAAAACTACCCCTCCCTGTACCCCTAACCCTGACCCTGTCTATAAAACTACCCCTCCCTGTACCCCTAACCCTGACCCTGTCTATAAAACTACCCCTCCCTGTACCCCTAACCCTGACCCTGTCTATAAAACTACCCCTCCCTGTACCCCTAACCCTGACCCTGTCTATAAAACTACCCCTCCCTGTACCCCTAACCCTGACCCTGTCTATAAAACTACCCCTCCCTGTACCCCTAACCCTGACCCTGTCTATAAAACTACCCCTCCCTGTACCCCTAACCCTGACCCTGTCTATAAAACTACCCCTCCCTGTACCCCTAACCCTGACCCTGTCTATAAAACTACCCCTCCCTGTACCCCTAACCCTGACCCTGTCTATAAAACTACCCCTCCCTGTACCCCTAACCCTGACCCTGTCTATAAAACTACCCCTCCCTGTACCCCTAACCCTGACCCTGTCTATAAAACTACCCCTCCCTGTACCCCTAACCCTGACCCTGTCTATAAAACTACCCCTCCCTGTACCCCTAACCCTGACCCTGTCTATAAAACTACCCCTCCCTGTACCCCTAACCCTGACCCTGTCTATAAAACTACCCCTCCCTGTACCCCTAACCCTGACCCTGTCTATAAAACTACCCCTCCCTGTACCCCTAACCCTGACCCTGTCTATAAAACTACCCCTCCCTGTACCCCTAACCCTGACCCTGTCTATAAAACTACCCCTCCCTGTACCCCTAACCCTGACCCTGTCTATAAAACTACCCCTCCCTGTACCCCTAACCCTGACCCTGTCTATAAAACTACCCCTCCCTGTACCCCTAACCCTGACCCTGTCTATAAAACTACCCCTCCCTGTACCCCTAACCCTGACCCTGTCTATAAAACTACCCCTCCCTGTACCCCTAACCCTGACCCTGTCTATAAAACTACCCCTCCCTGTACCCCTAACCCTGACCCTGTCTATAAAACTACCCCTCCCTGTACCCCTAACCCTGACCCTGTCTATAAAACTACCCCTCCCTGTACCCCTAACCCTGACCCTGTCTATAAAACTACCCCTCCCTGTACCCCTAACCCTGACCCTGTCTATAAAACTACCCCTCCCTGTACCCCTAACCCTGACCCTGTCTATAAAACTACCCCTCCCTGTACCCCTAACCCTGACCCTGTCTATAAAACTACCCCTCCCTGTACCCCTAACCCTGACCCTGTCTATAAAACTACCCCTCCCTGTACCCCTAACCCTGACCCTGTCTATAAAACTACCCCTCCCTGTACCCCTAACCCTGACCCTGTCTATAAAACTACCCCTCCCTGTACCCCTAACCCTGACCCTGTCTATAAAACTACCCCTCCCTGTACCCCTAACCCTGACCCTGTCTATAAAACTACCCCTCCCTGTACCCCTAACCCTGACCCTGTCTATAAAACTACCCCTCCCTGTACCCCTAACCCTGACCCTGTCTATAAAACTACCCCTCCCTGTACCCCTAACCCTGACCCTGTCTATAAAACTACCCCTCCCTGTACCCCTAACCCTGACCCTGTCTATAAAACTACCCCTCCCTGTACCCCTAACCCTGACCCTGTCTATAAAACTACCCCTCCCTGTACCCCTAACCCTGACCCTGTCTATAAAACTACCCCTCCCTGTACCCCTAACCCTGACCCTGTCTATAAAACTACCCCTCCCTGTACCCCTAACCCTGACCCTGTCTATAAAACTACCCCTCCCTGTACCCCTAACCCTGACCCTGTCTATAAAACTACCCCTCCCTGTACCCCTAACCCTGACCCTGTCTATAAAACTACCCCTCCCTGTACCCCTAACCCTGACCCTGTCTATAAAACTACCCCTCCCTGTACCCCTAACCCTGACCCTGTCTATAAAACTACCCCTCCCTGTACCCCTAACCCTGACCCTGTCTATAAAACTACCCCTCCCTGTACCCCTAACCCTGACCCTGTCTATAAAACTACCCCTCCCTGTACCCCTAACCCTGACCCTGTCTATAAAACTACCCCTCCCTGTACCCCTAACCCTGACCCTGTCTATAAAACTACCCCTCCCTGTACCCCTAACCCTGACCCTGTCTATAAAACTACCCCTCCCTGTACCCCTAACCCTGACCCTGTCTATAAAACTACCCCTCCCTGTACCCCTAACCCTGACCCTGTCTATAAAACTACCCCTCCCTGTACCCCTAACCCTGACCCTGTCTATAAAACTACCCCTCCCTGTACCCCTAACCCTGACCCTGTCTATAAAACTACCCCTCCCTGTACCCCTAACCCTGACCCTGTCTATAAAACTACCCCTCCCTGTACCCCTAACCCTGACCCTGTCTATAAAACTACCCCTCCCTGTACCCCTAACCCTGACCCTGTCTATAAAACTACCCCTCCCTGTACCCCTAACCCTGACCCTGTCTATAAAACTACCCCTCCCTGTACCCCTAACCCTGACCCTGTCTATAAAACTACCCCTCCCTGTACCCCTAACCCTGACCCTGTCTATAAAACTACCCCTCCCTGTACCCCTAACCCTGACCCTGTCTATAAAACTACCCCTCCCTGTACCCCTAACCCTGACCCTGTCTATAAAACTACCCCTCCCTGTACCCCTAACCCTGACCCTGTCTATAAAACTACCCCTCCCTGTACCCCTAACCCTGACCCTGTCTATAAAACTACCCCTCCCTGTACCCCTAACCCTGACCCTGTCTATAAAACTACCCCTCCCTGTACCCCTAACCCTGACCCTGTCTATAAAACTACCCCTCCCTGTACCCCTAACCCTGACCCTGTCTATAAAACTACCCCTCCCTGTACCCCTAACCCTGACCCTGTCTATAAAACTACCCCTCCCTGTACCCCTAACACTGACCCTGTCTATAAAACTAACTCTCCCTGTAACCCTAACCCTGTCTATAAAACTAACCCTCCCTGTAACCCTAACGCTGACCCTGTCTATAAAACTAACCCTCCCTGTAACCCTAACACTGACCCTGTCTATAAAACTAACCCTCCCTGTAACCCTAACACTGACCCTTTCTATAAAACTAACCCTCCCTGTAACCCTAACACTGACCCTTTCTATAAAACTAACCCTCTCTGTAACCCTAACACTGACCCTGTCTGTAAAACTAACCCTAACACTGACCCTGTCTATAAAACTAACCCTCCCTGTAACCCTAACACTGACCCTGTCTATAAAACTAACCCTCCCTGTAACCCTAACACTGACCCTGTCTGTAACCCTAACTCTCCTTGTAACCCTAACACTGACCCTGTCTATAAAACTAACCCTCCCTGTAACCCTAACACTGACCCTCTCTGTAACCCTAACATGTCGGGATAATAAGGAAGAAATATAAAGAAAACCTCTTTTGAAGGAATCATTTCTCTATTTTTCTCTCTTCTGCTTTTTTTCCTGGATAATGAGCATTTCCTTCCATCTACAGACAGAACAGTTCAGTCCTATTACGGCGCTGACATTTGCAGGACGGCATTCTGTTACAGACACAGAGCAGAGGTCACTACATGACAAAAATAGAGCAAGTCCCACTGGCTGCGCCCTGACAGAAGGTTAGACAAATAATTTGACTTGAACCCAGCGAGCCCCAACCTGTGAATCCTAATGGCTTTCTCTCGTTTAGTGGAAATTAAATAAAGAAGCTTTTCAATTCTCTGTTGCGCACGTGCGGTTTTCATATAACAGGACTGATGCCATCCTTTGATGGGCAGAGAAATCACTGAAAATGCCGTACAGCATCAGGAGACTGCAACTAAAGGTGACCAGTGAATGTGAATAGTTCCCTCTGCCCGGCAGTGCGGAGAGAGCATGGAGCCAGCTTCCTTTCCAATCAGGAAACCTCCCGGTGAAGCCGGCTTCCTAGTTAATCACGAAGTCGGGAGGCGGGTCATGACGCGCCGCTTGGCTTTCTGATTGGCTAGGAAGCGGGCTTCACTTGAAGCTAGGCAGCCTGGATATCTAACCATTTAGGAAGTCGGGCAGCTCGTCATAACTCGCGTCCCGGCTTCCTGATTGGTCAGGAAGCCACACTGCCTAGCAAAAAGTGACGATGGCTTACTAGCCAATCAGGAAGCCGGGAGGCAGATCATGATGTGCCGCCCGGTTTCCCGATTGGTCAGAAAGCCAGGCTGCCTAGCAACAAGTGAAGCCAGCTTCCTAACCAATCCTGAAGCTGGAGGGCACCTCATGACCTGCCGCCCAGATTCCTGATTGGTCAGGAAGCCAGGCAGCCTCGGCAAGTGAAGCCGGTGTTCTTTTGTTAGAACACCAGCTTCCCAGGCAATCAGGATGCCGGGCGACGGGTCATGATCCACTGCACGACTTCCTAATAATCGGGGCACACCGAACGGTACTCGGTGTCGGCGAGTACCGGAAAAAAATAGCGGTACTTGATACCGTAATACTGTTATTGGTGCATCCCTAGCAGAAAATAAAACCTCATAAGTTTCTATAAGAACCAGCAACAATGATCCCACTCTCAGTCTGTTGCGTACGGTCACCAAGTGCACTTCATCTGAACTATTACCCCAAATCTCTCCAACAGAAAGGACTTTGATCAGACAGCCGGAGCCGAAGTCACACGCTTTATTTGCAGGTCACCATTTGTTTGCGATTGTCCATTTTTGTTTTTGGTTCCCAGCCAAAGACAATCCTGTACTCTGCGTGGGTTGAGCCGCGTATTGATTAGGATTTTGCAAGAACTGTAGAAAAAAAACACTCTTGAGAAAAAATGTGGCACTTATAATTGATCAAATCTTTGGTTATCAGGTCAGTGATCCCAAAATGATAAAGTGTTCGGAATGTCCACTGGTTAGAAAATGGCTGCTCGCTTGGCTCTAGAGCTCAGGACAGAACACTCTGTATGCAGTTATACAACCACTCCTGTCTCTCGCTCATTGCCATGACATGCTGAGATACCTGCAAGAAGAAAAGGGGATGTTAGCTCCGTGCTTCCTCTCAGTATTATATAACTCATTTCTGGATATAAAGAATATCTGGCCAGGGTCAATATTTAACAACGTGAAGTCATGATGATGTCATATGCTTCTGTTTCTCTTATTATTATTATTATACAGGATTCATATAGCGCCAACAGTTTGCGCAGCGCTTTACAATATAGGGCAGACATTACAAATCACAATACAATTCAAGACAAGATGGTAAGGAGGGCCCTACATCATTATTAGGGATGCACCGATACCAGTTTTTCGGTATCGAGTACTGAATTTTTTTTTTCTGCTGCTCGCCAATACCGAAAGTCCCATTAAGGAAGCCTGGCGGTGTGTAATGACTCGCCATCTGGCTTCCTGATTGGTCAAGAATCTGGCCAATCAGGAAGCCGGGCAATGTGTCATTACACGGCGCCCGGCTTCCTGATTGGCCAGGAAGCCAGCTCCATGCTTCCCTCATCATCAGGTGACGAGGGAGCATGAAGCCGGTTTTCTGGCCAATCGGAAAGCTGGGGGGCGTGTAATGACTCGCTGTCCGGCTTCCTGATGCTGGAAGTATCGGGCTAGATATCGGGGCATTTGGGCGAGTATGAGTACTTGCCAAAATACTCAGCATCGGAACAGATACCGATTCTAGTATTGGTGCATCCTTAATCATTATACTACTTACTTGGGTCTGGATCTATAATTATCTTTAAAAACGTATGGTGGGTGGTGCTACGTCTGAAGAAAAGAACATTCTTTAGGTTTTCATATATGTAACATTTCTTATCTGCAGCTGCTGCATACTGCAATTTGCATGGCTGGTAGTTATTGTGCAAGCCACTAAAACACTGGTGACTACACTTAAGGGTCAATTTATAAAGCAGTGGTAGGTATGGCCATACTATTGCTTAACAAAAAAAGATCTTAGCAATCTGAGTACCAAAGGCAGCAAAGAGCTACTCTTCTGAAAGGAGAGTATAGGAAAAGAAAAAAAAATCCAGGAGGAAAGCACAAGGAGGGGATTTATAAAAACTGGAGCAGACAGAATCTGGAGCCGTTGTGCATGGAAACCAATGAACTTTTAGCTTTCATTCAAGGCTCAACTGAACAAACTGAAAAGAGAAGCTGATTGGTTACAGTGCACAGCTGCTCCGCATAATGTCGGCTCCAGTTATGATAAATTATTAAAAAAAAAAAATCCAGGAGTCATGTGACCTATCAAAGTAACATGACCGTCTCTCCAACCACAGAGCTCTCTCTGCTGTGTAAAGTCTTCGGGTTATACTGCCACCTACAGGAGGATTGGACGCTGACAAATAAAAAAACCAAACTGTTGACCAGGTCATGATATCACTCCTTCCACTACCAGCATGCCTCAGTTTGTAGCAAACCAGTACCAAGAGCATGGATTATAAACACAGAGGGGTGGCACCCATGTCACTCAATGGATTTTATGGTGAGTACACTATTGTATTATCTGTCTTGTCCATTGAGGGACACAGGTAATCTTTATATGGTTACATAGTTAGTCAGAGACAGGCAAATGCGGAGGCAATACCAGTGCCTCGGGACCTGCAAAGAGCTCGGTGGCTAACTTAACCAGAACGTAGTCTGGAAAGAGCCTCACGTTGAAGGCTAGCTTTGCAACGTCCAGATGTGGTACGGCCCAAAAGCCAGACTGAGGACAAATGCGGTAGATAGCTGTGAACTGGAGCGGAAACCTCCAGCAGCGGTATGGAGAAGGGTCTTGAATAAAGAAAAAAGTGAAGGAAAACTGCTAGAAAAATCACAGGTTAGTCTTTAAAACAACAGAGCTGAAGAAAGGATGTCCCTCCTCCTAGGACACTAGCACAAAATGGGAGCATGCTGGTAGTAGGAGGGGCTATACCCTGGGCAGGCCTACAGTGTCCAATCTTCCTGTAGGCAGCAGTACAAGCCAAAGGTTTAAGACTTCCTTGTCTTTCAATGGATGAGGAGGAAATATACTTTCTCTGCAGTAATGTTTCTCCCTAGGAAAGTCCATACACTGTTTGGATTTTAGACTGGAATGAAAGTCACGGCTTGCACGTGTGAGCAGAGCTAAAGAGGGGATTATGTGTGGCTCCCTGCAGGTAGCATAGTACAGATCTCAGCACAGTGGGGACAGGTATGTATATGACTTGCCAGACTTGCCACGGAAGGGGGATATGTGCCCAGTAATGGTAACTGCACTACACCTGAACCTAACCTTAATTAATATATAATCAAAATGACTTCCGGTAAATCGCAACAAATAACATCATGACAAATGAAATCTTCTCTATGCAAACCCTCATAAAAAAGGCAGAGGATGCAAGCAACAGCTTTTGCTGCCTGCCTGCTTATATGCAGATGTAATTGTTGGGGAATTCAAAAAGAGACTGGATTCATCTAGGAGGTGCATATTGCAGTGTGTTTGATCACAAAAATCCATTATCAGCAGATGACATTTACCACGGATGATTTTGCTGGCACTTCCACAGCAAACACGCTGAGTCCTCGGCTGCTGACACAGTTCTTGCTCTGGTCATTGTTCACCTGCATCATGATCTTCTTATCCACCTGCAAGCAGGACAGGAGACAGCTGGGTGTTAGTACATAGAGTGGGACCATCTATAGCCAGGCCCGGCGATACCGCAAGGCTAGTCAGGTGGCCGCCTTACGGCGCTGCAGGGTGAGGGCGGAAAAAACAAGGCATTTTGACAAGTACTTGTACTTGTCAAAATGCCCCGATGTTTGCTCTATGTTTTTTTTTTTTCACTTACCTTTGGTGCGGGAGAGCAGCGGCGAGTCAGCGCTGGTCCAGTGGGAGGAGCTCCAGGTGGGGTCCTAATTTAGCTGGCCGGCGACTGACAGAGGATTCCGACACGCACGGCACCTCAGGCAGTCGCCGGCCAGCTAAATTAGGACCCAACCTGGAGCTCCTCCCACCGGACCAGCGCTGACTCGCCGCTGCTCTCCCGCGCCGAAGGTAAGTGAAAAAGAAAAAAAAAAACATAGCGCAAACATCGGGGCATTTTGACAAGTACAAGTACTTGTCAAAATGCCCTGTTTTTACAGGGGGTCGGGATCGGGGGGGGATGGGGGGCAAAAATGCACCTTGCCCACCCTGCTTAGAATCCTAGCACCGGCCCTGTCTATAGCTGCACAGCTGTACAGGAACACAAGTCTCTAAATGTGCTATGATGATGATGATGACACTCGCTCTAGCCTTGAGGACCAAGGGGCGTGTTCATGACAGCCTGGATGCGAGGAAGGGGCGGGGTGACAGTGTGTCATACAGCCTGAATATTAGGCACCTCCCATAACATTTTTGGGAGCAGAGGAGAACAATGATAATGACTTCACTTTGCCCCCAGTGATGTCGAGGGAGGAATTAAGTTATTTTGACAAAACTGACTTTGCAGCAAATACTGATTAAGGGGAGACGCTAAATTTCATTTTCAAACTCTGCTGGATTTTTGTTTATTTCATATTGCTGAGAATGTAATAGGAGGAACCAGGACACAAAAAAAGGTGGGTGAGAACAAACAAAGGAGGGTTTCCTCATGGTGACCCCCTGGACCTTGTCTGTGCACGGTGTATTGAAATGGCCACTTGAAGCCTCCATTGGAAGCCCATGTGACAGGGTGACAATGCAGGAGCACCATTGGGGGACAGATACACAGTGTGATCAAGTAATAAACTATATCACCAGCACACTGTGGTCAAATCTTCAGAAAGTTATAATTTTATTGATGCACACACATCTTGTCACATTGCAACGTTTCGGGGGCCACTCAGTGTCCCTTCCTCAGGCATGAGGAAGGGACCCTGTGTGGCCCCGAAACATTGCAGTGTGACAAGATGTGTGTGCATCAATAAAATGATCACTTTCTGAAGATTTGACCACGGTGTGCTGGTGATATATTTTATTACTTGAATCTGAAGCGGCGCCATTCGCAGTCACTACAGCAAGGGACACCAATAAGGAGTGCGGTAGGATTCTCTTATATCCTGTTCAAGATACACAGTGTTGTCACCCTATAACAGGAAGTGCCTTGGCAAAGGCCTTCACGGCAGATCACCAGGGATTATTTTAATGAAAGCTGCAGATTTAAAAGGGCTTTTTACATTATATTGACATGTTTAAACTTTCATGAGATTTTAGTGACTGGGATGACATATACTTTAATGTATATAGTGCCACCATATTCCATTGAGTTAGCTGTGTACAAACCTTATTCTCAATAACGGAAGTAATCCTGGTGTCATTCTTGTATGTGTAGATGACAACGCTTTCATAACCTTCCATAGGCTTTGCTTCTCCTTTGAGAATCACAGACTTACACAGCACCTTCTGCAACTGCCGATTGCTGGACGCCAGGCTCACGGCGCTCAGTCTGGGCTTACACTTTTCTGCATAAATATTGATAATGAAAGGACATGCCTGCAAAAAAATAAAATAAGAGTTTAGTCGAGGTACAAAGCCTGTCTATTGAATGCTTTGTTTCTAAACTAGGCTTATATGAGGATTTTCCTTACCCCTTCCCACCAACCCATAAAGAAATCATAATGCCAGAGGCGTTCATATCATCATATTGGCGGGCACAGTGATCACATGATCAGGAGCCTGTCCCACCAGCTCCCAATCGCCACTGTATGACTAGGAGCTGCTGGTATAGCATGGTCACAGTGCTGGGGGCGGGGCTGATTAGTACGCTCCCAGCATGAAACAATATATGTCAAATGCACTGAGTGGCCAGATTATTATGACCACCCCATCAGTACTTCGTTGGGCCGCCTCGTGACTCCACGAGATGATGAAAGGTGATGCGAGGAATCTGACACGGCACTGTTGCCCTTCTGTTGTCTTGTACCAGTCTTGCCACTCCCCCTTCTGCCCTAACATTGACTAGTCACTGACGGCCACAATTCCCACGTTCAGACCCAGATTTTCGGCTGACAGTCCGGTCTTTAAACACTTTAACAACAGCTGCTCTTGAACATTTAACCAATTCTGCTGTTTTGCTGATACTCGCTCCATGGCTCCGAGCGCCAACAATCATCCCACGTTCAAAGGCTGTTACATCGCGTTGTTTCCCCGTATCTTCAGAAACAAATCACTTCTACTGTCGTGGTAAACAACCTGCTTCCCTATTTATAATGGTCTGGCCCTCCAGCAACTTCAGCGCCAAATTATAGCTAATTTGCCTACAAACGTCAGGTGGTCGTAATAATCCGGCCACTCAGTGTATATGAGCCATCACAAAAAAAAGCACACTTCCTAACTGCCACATATATGTGTACTGCCTGTGTTAAACAGACAATGTTTCTTGCCCATGTCTGCACAAAAGGAGCCCCCAAAACTCACTGATACTCACCTTGATAGCACTTCCTTGCTGCTACTTCCTCCGTTGCAGCCAGAATTACAATTCCCAGTGTCAGCTTCTAAGGGGAGCAGTGACGTCTCTCCCTCTGTCATGTGACACTGCTTGGAATAATGACTGGTTGCTAGACCCGAGCACTGTCACATGGGAGGAGGTCACATACACCCCCATACTCATTTTTGCCAGCTAAGGCAGCAGAAGGAGCGTGAAGGGAGAGCTTGCAAGGCAATTATTAGTAGGCCAGGAGGGCTCCTTTACACAAATTACCCTGAATGGGCAAGATGACAGTATCTCTTGAAAGCGGGACTCCAGCCATCCCTTCAGTCTTGCACAGTTGTAGCGGCTCCTCTCCTGGACTGAAATTTCTTACTCTGATGTCACTGCACACTGGGAGCTTCTCACAATGTGCTTTAGAAGCTGCGGCAAGTCAGATAGAGCCTGCCCCATTCCCTGGCTGGAGGACGTCCAGCATGATAGCTCTTTCCTCCCCATCCTGACTGTCCTTGGATTGTCCCTTTCATTTATTGGATTTCAGCTCTTTCAATCATGGAGGTTCCGCATCACATGTAGGAATTACCTAGGGTGGAAGTGTGCAATGAAATCCAAGTAAGCAATTTTAGTCTAGGAGAGGAACATGTGCAACTGTTCCAGACTGAAGAGAAGGCCGGCGCTCAGCTTTAAAAAAAAAAAAATGTGGCTTTTGATGCAATTTAAATTGGTTTCATTCATACACAACATCACCTCTGTCAGCTCCAGGGCCTTGTTGTAACCCATGGACTGCAGCGTCACCCAGAGGTCACTCGGGTCCCCTTCTCGGTCATTTGCCTCCATGAGGTTCAGATCCAGAAAACCTTTCCTCGTCAGCTCATTTTTCTTTGTCTCAAAATTCTCTATAGGAAAATAAAGTAAATAAAAATACAATTAACAAGGGTAAAGCCCAACAACATCTAAATAGCCTACAGCGGCCAATACAGAAATAATTTGTAATTTATCACATAGTAGACAACAGGCAATAAATAAATAAATAAATAATGTAGTCTGACAGTAGCATTAACACAGCAATCTCTGGAAATCTCAATTCCAGAGCCCTGCAAGGACGGAAACCTCAATCCTGGAGTCCCAGGAAGAACAAAGATCTTAATCCCATAGTCCCTACAACCATGGAAAACTCAATCCCAGAGTCCCTGCAAGCATAGAGACCTCAAACCTGGCTTCCCAGTAAATATGGAAACCTCAATTCCAGAGTGCCAGCAAGCATGGAAATAACAATCCTAGAGTCCCAGCAAGAACAGGCACCTCAATCCCAGAGTCTGTGTAAGCACAGAGACTGCAAGCACAGAGTCGTTGCTAGTACAGAGACCTAAATCCCCAAGTCTGTGCAAGCATAGGCACCTCAGTCGCCAAGTCCCTGCAAGCACAGGCACCTCAATCCCAGAGTCCCTGCAAGCACAGGCACCTCAATCCCAGAGTCCCTGCAAGCACAGGCACCTCAATATTAGAGTAGCTGTAAGCATGACAACCTTAATTCCAGAGTCCCTGCAACCACACAGATCTGAACTCTGGAGTCCGCGACAAACTGTTTGCTGATTTCATTCCCCATTGTCTACCAAAACCTGAAATATCCCCCTCGGGTGAACACATCCTTTAAAAACTAATAAGCTGCAATTTTTGTCTTTTGGGCTGCGAATTATGTCAAGTCAGCAGTGCTTAGCGAAGGGGTTCTCCTGAACATTTAATCAGAAAAGTCTGTTGTGACTTTGATCTGGTTATTTTCTTGTCTGTGATGAAAATCTGGATGAAGAGTGAAGTAAATGATGTTAAGTTTTCCCCTCTGCCGTTGGAGGAAGAAGGCGCGCTGATAGCGGGTGATATTAAGGTCACATTGTAATAAATGTTGGAAGCGCCTGGCCTTTATGCCAAAAGCTTTTTTTCTCCAACATCTTGCTGAAAGGTTAAAAGAAAAGTAATTCAATTCTAATGCATTCTTAATAGAAAACCATAAAAATGCAAATGTTTTGCTCAGAATTAGTGGACGTTTTACGGCCTGTAATATACCATGTATTATCGGGAAGAGAGTGCCACGTATTTAAATCTGTTCTAGATTATCTCTCAATAATACACTTTTTTTTCCGTTAAACAACTGTATTAAGTGACTCCATTAATACAAAAAGAGACAACTCTTGGCAAGGTGAATAAAACACAAACACCGAAGGCAACCGGGACGCACCTTTGCAAACCTCCCAGGCGTCGTCATCGCATTTCTCGCCGCTGGTGCGCATCTCGAAGAAATTATATTCCTCCAGGCTGAGAGAGCCATTGCCATCTAAATCAATGATGTCAAACATGTCGGAGAGAGCAGATCTGGAACAAGGAAGAGGAAGAAAGTAATGTGTAGTGAGCTCCTTGGTTTATAACTTTAAAATAAATCATCTCTACGAGCGGTCCGCGGTGCTTCCTTTAAATTTCATATGTGCCAATGTCAGGTGCTAACATCAGAACGCACTATTTTAAAAGCAATCAAATTAAAGAAGACTTGAACTCTGGAAGCTGTTTTTTGTTTTTTTATATCTCTATAGGTTGAACTCGATGGACATGTGTCTTTTTTCAACATGACTAACTATGTAACTATTAGGGATGCACCGATACCGGTATTTTGGTATCGAGTACCAATATTTTTTCTTCGGTACTCGCCGATACTGAATACTGATACCGGAAGTCCCATTAAGGCGGTGTGTAATGACTTGCCACCCGGCTTCCCAATTAGCAGGGAAGCCATCCCCATGCTTCTCATCACTAGGTTATGAGAAAGCATGGAGTCGGCTTTCTGGCCAATCAGGAAGCCGGGCGCCGTGTAATGATGCGATCCTAAGCTTCCTGATTGGCTGGGAAGCCGGCTCAATGCTCCCTCGTCATGAGGGAGCATGAAGCTGCCTTCTTGGCCAATCAGAAAGCCGGGCAGCGTGTAAGGACTTGCTGCCCGGCTTCCTAATACCGGAAGTATCGGGCTAGGCATCGGAGCATTTGGGCGAGTACTCGCCCAAATACTCTGCATGGGTATACTAGTATCGGTGCATCCCTAGTAACTATGCAACTAAAAAGGCAAGCAGAGGGTAACAAACTAGTCACCAGTATTCCATAGACTCACCTAAACTCCGGAGTGAGAACTAAATCTTCTTTGTCATTTCTGTAAACTAGTTGGGCTTCTTTCCCAATTTGTTTCTTCTTTTTAGTCAATCTGCAGCCTGTTGTGAACGGTAGAAGTGTATAAGAGCCGACGCCGAGTTCACCTTTCCAGACAAACGCCTGCAGGCAGAGAACAGGACGACAAATAACATGGAATAAATAGAAGACACATGTAATACATTTAAGATATACTGATAACTATAGATCTCCACAGGTCTCATTTAAAGCCGAACACCAGGCTTCTTAAAGCTCATGTACAGCAGGAACCAGTCAGATTATGTGCTAACAAGGAGCATGTGGTCATTACTGTGCTGCTTCTCCATCACTGACCCGTTACAGGCTGGAGGTGGGTCAATGACAGCCTGAGCTCAGAGGAATGATGCTGGTCAGAAGACTGGAGGCATCTAGTGGTGGTAAAGAAGTACTGCAGGAGCAACGCCAGATTGAAAGTGATGTTAAAGTCAAGCGTTTTCTAAGCTATCTCAATTGCTAATGAAATCACTTACAATAGATGCTGCTCCTTGATGTTTAAAAGTTTTAGTTTCTTCCTCGAGTACTGTCCCTGATAACGGAAAATTGTATACTTACCTTTCGGTAATTTTTCTTTCCTGATAGATGGCAGCATATGAATGGGTTAGCTCTGCCCCTCACACAATCACAGGACTAGTTATACTATAAATTAAAGCACGCCTCCCAAGGCCACTATTCTCTTAACAAGCACTCAATGAAAAATCCATGGGAGGGTCCCGTATGCTGCCATGTATTGGCGTCAAGAAATCAGTTGGTTCCCTGAGTACTGTCCCTGATATCCTGTTTTAGGGCGGCTCCTTTCATTTTCAGGCGTCTATGGAGCCACCCTTGTGTGTGCTAGTAAGCTGCGTGCGTCTCCACAAATACACAAGCAGAACAGATGACAAACGCACTCATCAATTCGTCACCAGCTTTACAGTAAGGTGCACACGGAATGGGCTTTAAACAGTAAAATAGCAAAAAGTTTTCCTGGCACACTCACAAGCCAGCATGTAAAACAACTTGTATCACCGCTAAGGTTAAAAGCAGAGGTTTGGATACACGTCTTCTGCAGAAACTGTGAAAGTCGCACAGCCGCGCCAAGGCACCTCCATATAGTGTGGTCCTAACTCTAAACTATGAGAGTCTCCATCTTGGAGCACATGGGGCAGAAGATAAAATTGGGTGCAGGTTTGTCAGGAGGAAGCTCAACCCCCTTAAAGGCACAGAGACGCACAAGGGATCCTGCACATCCCAATGGCAGCCGAGACCCCCCATGCATCACTGCACCAGATGACAAACGCACTCATCAATTGATGAGTGCGTTTGTCATCTGTTTTGCTTGACTGTTTTGGTGCAGTGATGCATGGGGGGTCTCAGCTCATTATTTTCACTGGTGCTGGTTTCAGGGCTGTCATGCTCACCCTGGCTTCACTGCTTACAATTGTATTGGCCTCAGTGACTATTAAAATAGATGCTTTTGTTTTGTTTTCGATGGAGTGGACAACTATTAAAAACCCAGTCAGGTTTTTCTTTCCGTCTGTCTACATTGGGGAGATGTTCCTTTACATCCTGTCATAGAGACACAACTCTACGAAGTGAGGTGAAATCTCCTTTTAAACCGTTGTCAGTGGAAGAGGTTTGTTCTTCATGAATCTTGGTGTGCTTTGAATATTTGTGCAGTGATCCAGTATGAAACTGTCTCTGTGCAGGAGCTTCCTCCTGCTCCTTTCATTTCTTGTGCAGGGTGACTGGTCTTGTCTCCGCCCCCCCTCCTGTAGTTTCCTATAGTGGGTGGGGCCTTCTGGGTCCCTCCCACAGCTCTGCTCTCTGCACAGGTTATGTGCCAAAGAGTGATTTTTTCACTTCTACGTTTACAAAGTAATATTGCAAAGGCAATTGGTGCACACAGAGTGGATTTATATCCTTTGTGACTATTGGGAGATATATAGAAATGAACGTTTTTGTGCCCAGAGTGCAGCTTCATGGACACGTTTAAGACAAATCCCGTTTTACAACGCATTATACATAATTAAAAGGGTTACCATTCTGTATATTGTTCATTAAACAAATGGCTAAGATGAAGACAGAAGATGAATTAGACCTCAAGGACCAGTTTAAAGTGTTACTTCCTCCATTCGGTATTATAAGTCTTTAGACTAATTTATGTGCTAATAAAGCCCAATTAATGAAGGCAAAGAAGCTGATTAACATGCAGGATCGGGGATTAGCTTTAATATGAATATAGCAGGTAAATGTGGACTCTTTAAAAGGGTAATTCCACTTTCCCAGGCAAATGTGGAAAATGGAATTGCCCCCACCAGGGGTGTCCGGAGGCCTGGTGTCACCCAGAGGTCACGCCGTGATGTGATCACGCATGCGTGGCCATCTTTGTGATACCTGCCGACCTGAGAGGAAGGGACGTTCACCTGGCAGGAAAAGGTATGCCTGCCAGGTCCCCTCCTCTCTCCTGCAACTGTCGGGCTCTGGGTCCATGACCGAGTGCCCGACTTTTCAGAGGGTGTGACATCAAAATGACTGTCGGTCATTTTGGTGTCACCCCTCCAATGGTGTCACCCGGGTGTGGACCGCACCCCCCCTTGTGACGCCACTAACCCCCACCAATCTGCCCCCCCCCCTGTATGTATTTCAAATTCCACTTGCAAATGGCGAGCATTCATTGGTGAGCACAGTCACCTGACCACACTGATCAATGAGAAGCACTTCTTAGCAAGAAGCGCTTCTCCATGGTCAGTGTGGTCAGAAGCGATTATCATTGGTCAGCGTGGTCACAAGTGCATCTCATTGGTCAGCGCGGTCAGGGGGCATATATGCAATGATGTATGAAAAACCTGCACCAAAAATGTTCTGGTGCCGTTCAAATGTTGCCTTGTCTAACACTAACCCTAACGTGCTGTATCTGACCCCGGATCCACAAACACCAGTCATAGGGGTAGTCATAGGATATTTATAGGTAGTCATAGGATATTTGTGGCCCCAAAGTGTGCAGCTCCCCCTACAGATCAGAGGACTATGCCGAATTCTGTTTCACCTGTTTCCAGGTGAGATACAAAGGAAGCCCTCACCTCTTTATTCCGCACTTCCGTGAAAGAGATGAGTTGAGGATCTCCTTTTCCATCGATTTCTTTTAGTATATAGAGAGCCGTGTCCACCGACATCCATGGGGATGATTTTCCTAAAAGAAAGGGGATTTTTTCAAAGAGAATCTTACTTTATTTTCCTTTATCCAAAATCCCCCCGTCCCCAAAGGTCCCTAAAAAAAAGTAGTACTCCATTTTCCAGTGCTGCACTCACCATCCTCCATCAGACCTGCCTGCAGTTCCCCGTCTGGGTTAAATTACATCCAAAAGAAATGACCCACTTGCTGTGATCCCGGGGCATTAAGGACACACCCCCTATGGTATATTAACCAAACTGGACTAGGCTTACAGGAGTATAATGCAGAAAACAGTGCACACTTCATTATGTGAGCACCCTACCCTTCATCATTTGTTTTAGAGGAAATGTGTAGTCGTTTTACATTTATCAAATTTCTTTTGGGCTCCTTGTTATGTTTCCCAGTTGGCCCTCATCTCTTGCTGTTCACAGAGCTCAAAAGCTCAAGCTGACTCCTCCCCATCCCTCCAACAGACTCATGTAAAGGTGCCCATACACTGCACAATTCTCGTACGAGAATCGCGAGAAATCCCGCGATCATACGAGAATCGTGCAGTGTATGGAAGGCGTGCGACCGTTTCTAATGTACGGTCGCACGTCTTTTGTATATCGTGCATGTTGGAAAACCAGCCGAGAATCGTACGATATTCCGCTGGTTTTTAACATGATCGAGAGATCACTGCCGAACGGGCTGGTGTGCGCACGCGCACACTGCCCGTTCAGCATTGCAGTCATCGGAAGCCCGCCCCTCAGGGGGGCGCGGCTTGCGATGATCGCAAGTCTTGCGAGGGTTGTAAAGTGTATGGCCACCTTAAGGGTTTCAATCAGAGAAAGTGAGCCTCAAAGGAGACAACATAACTAGCAAGGCAATCCACAGAGAACACTTGTTGGTCCATTAGTCTTTAACCATGTCTAATACCTCTAATAATTCATTTCTGCAGAATTTTATGACACATAGTAAAATGAAATTGGGGTTCACAGCTTCTTTTTTCTACCAATTGAATTTAGCATTGTAGCTGCAGGATACAAATGTTTTCTTGTGGTAATTGTTTTGTCTTTAAAATGTCGGTACTTTAGTTATATAAACTCAATTATTTCAGAAAAGAAGACCGGGATTAGGAAAAAGAACATCAGCTCAGTTCTGTGCCCGCCAGAAGCGTACACCCTAAAGCAGTGGTGGTCAAATTACTTGATGTGTGGCCCCTGATATCACCAAAGGCCACATATAACATTCAGTGACTGTAATGCTACAGAAAACTGTCAAAGACTGCAAACATGTAAAAGAAGATGGTCAGAAACTACAGGGCAAGCTACAGGGGATGGTCAGGGACTGCAGACATGCTACAGAGGATGGCCAGAGACTGCAGACATGCTACAGAGGATGGCCAGAGACTGCAGACATGGTACAGGAGATGGTCAGAGATTGCAGACATGGTACAGGAGATGGTCAGAGATTGCACACATGGTACAGGAGATGGTCAGAGACTGCAGACATCCTACAGGAGATGGTCAGAGACTGCAGATATGCTACAGAAATAGTCAGAGACTTCAGACATACTAAAAGAGGTGCTCATAGACTTTAGATATACTACAGAAGGAGGTCAGAGACTGCAGGAAGTGGGTAGAGGCTGCAGGCATGCTGCAGAAGGAGGTCAGAGACTGCAGTTATACTACAAAAGGTAGTTAGAGGCTGTAGGCATACCATAGGATATGATCAGAGACTGTTAAAAGGAGAATTATGGGGTTAAGGCTTTTCCCCATAGTTCTCCTTAGGGTAACGGGAGGACACAAACTAGCGTCCTCCCGTTACCCTAAGCTCAGTATACCGCGAGCTACAGCTCGCGGTATACTGAGACGCCGCAGCGGATCCCGACATCGATGTTGAGATCCGCCCAGCTGCGTGAGTGACAGCTGGCTCTGCCTATCTAGAGGCAGAGCCAGCTGTACCCGCCCCCCTCCCCCGTCCAATCCGCCAGTCAGCGCTGGAGGATCAGAGCGGGGAGGGGGGAATCCAGCCCCTCCCCTGTCATGGCAGAGAGCCGTGACAGGATCGAGAAGTGAGAGAACGCCGGTATGTGTTCACTCACCTCCCGATCTACTGAGCCGACCTGTGACAGTCTCATTGTCACAGGTCAGCTAGAACTATGAGGTGAGTGAAAAGCACTCCTCATAGTTCTCCTTTAATATCTTATAAGCGTGTTGGAGGTTTAGGATATGCTTCCAGAAACAGTCATAGCCTGAATACACAAACCAACTCTTCCACATTTGTACTCCCTAAAGTGTCCTTTAAAAACTACTTGTGGCACATATGATATTTGTGTCAGCAGAATTCCTAAGAAAATCAGAGGGGAAAAACAAAATGACACAAGAAATGCACAGAAAAAAAGTGTAGCAGAAATAAACCAGAGCAATGTAACTGCTGAAAGTCAGTCTAAAGAATATTCTTCCTTTACTGGCTTGAGTAAGCACCAAAACACAGACTACCCTGTTCATGGGCCCAGAGGGCCACACAATAAGCACTGAAGGGCTGCAGGTTGGTTACCAGGGACCTAATGTCACTGCTGCAGTTATATGTGCAAGCCGTAGGGCCAATTTTGGTCAGACGCCAACTGAGTGTGTTTAAATTATGGGAGGAAACCCACACAACCATGGAATGAACTTGCAAATTCAATGCAGAGAACTTCTTTACTGAGAATCAAACCCAGCACTGCACAAGCACTAACCAATATGCCCTCCAACCAATATGCCCTCCGCTTACCTTCAACCCTGCTGAGGTTTAAGGGTTTGATTGTCAAATAAACTGTTGTTTTCAGAGGAAGTTGCAGCTTATAGTGATGGCTGACGATGCCTGCGTCTTCAAGGAAAAAGCATCCCTTCACCTGAGAATTCTGCCATTCCTGAAAGCACATTAATATACAGATAAGATGGAAACAAACTCAAAAAGGTAAAGTTGATGTTTTATAGGTGACATCTAGGAACGTCAATTGTATACAAGCAGTCCCCTGAAAAATGTCTCCTTTGTCTTGAATTTCTCCTACAAAAACAGCAATTCACTTTCTGTGCCTAGGTACACCTCTTCTGTGGCCTCCAAGCTGTATATCTGCAGTGTGAGATCATCCAAGGCACTGCTGCCTCTGACTGCTGGTCTCAGAGATTTGGTGATGTCACTACTGTGCTCCTCACTGTCCTCCTTGCTGGAGAGGAAGCTGTACATGAGGACCTGCAGTGCAAAGATCTCCTTGCTTCTGCTTCATTGATTTTGTTTATCTGTATTTCCCTCCTATCTTATACTGCTTTTTGGTTATAGCCTCACAGTCATCAAGGGGTCAGTGTGGATTTGTGAAAGCAAAGCCCTGCCTCTACTGAGATACAGAATATGCATTGTGATCATGTATTTAAAAAATGACAACAATACTGTAAATAACGGTAACATCCATTACATCGCTACATGCTCAAAAAGGAAGAACCTCATAAACACTGGTACAACATAACAAAACACAGAACAGGATTAGACTTGAACTTGATACAGACGCTTGTCCGTTACTGATAAGAACCACTGCTTGCGCAGTCTTACCAGTCACATTTATCCACCAATGTTCCAGGGGTATAGCCACCAAAATTTGCAGAGGTATAGCGACCAAGCATTGCAGGGTATAGCCATCAAGCGTTGCAGGGGTATAGCGACCAAGCATTGCAGGGTATAGCCACCAAGAGTTGCAGGGGTATAGCCACCAAGCGTTGCAGGGGTATAGCCACCAATCGTTGCAGGGGTATAGCCACCAAGCATTGCAGGGGTATAGCCACCAAGAGTTGCAAGGGTATAGCGACCAAGCATTGCAGGGTATAGCCACCAAGAGTTGCAGGGGTATAGCCACCAAGAGTTGCAGGGGGTATAGCCACCAAGAGTTGCAGGGGGTATAGCCACCAAGAGTTGCAGGGGGTATAGCCACCAAGCGTTGCAGGGCTATAGCCACCAATCGTTGCAGGGGTGTAGCGACCAAGCATTGCAGGGTATAGCCACCAAGAGTTGCAGGGGTATAGCGACCAAGCGTTGCAGGGTATAGCCATCAAGCGTTGCAGGGTATAGCCATCAAGCGTTGCAGGGTATAGCCATCAAGCGTTGCAGGGTATAGCCATCAAGCGTGGCAGGGGTATAGCGACCAAGCATTGCAGGGTATAGCCATCAAGCGTTGCAGGGGTATAGCCATCAAGCGTTGCAGGGGTATAGCCATCAAGCGTTGCAGGGGTATAGCGACCAAGCATTGCAGGGTATAGCCATCAAGCATTGCAGGTGTATAGCGACCAAGCATTGCAGGGGTATAGCGACCAAGCATTGCAGGGTATAGCCATCAAGCGTTGCAAGGGTATAGCCACCAAGCGTTGCAAGGGTATAGCCACCAAGCGTTGCAAGGGTATAGCCACCAAGCGTTGCAGGGGTATAGCCACCAAACGTTGCAGGGTATAGCCACCAAGAGTTGCAGGGGTATAGCCACCAAGCGTTGCAGGAAGAGGCCACCAGACATTGCAGGGGGTATAGCCACCTTTTGCTTTACCTAGTGTTCAACCTCCTATAGCGGGAACTATACCCATATACCCTATAGTGGCAGCTATAACTGATATACAGAACAAACCTGTGTCCTCCAATGAACACTCTGAATGAACAATCTGCTAAATGTGAGCCTTCCGACCATGCCTGCATTCTGTAATGTGAACACCGGATGGCAGCATTCTACCGCTATCTACAAAATGGAACTTCAATGCATTATCAGTACTAAAAAAAAGTTCAATATAATGTTTTCTCTGTGTTTTACTGATATAAATACCAAATTTATTAATAGAAATGTGCGTTTATTATTTTTTTGGGTGTCCCTCCCCCAAACAAAGTGCCATATACAGGCCTCTTCATCCTGTCCAGGCCTGAAGCACTCAGCTGCATTTTGAAGTGCGATGCTGCAAGTCCGGAACGGTTTGGTTATCAATGATTTAAAGGTGGTCGGGACGGAGAACAAAGCCGGGGCCGTCACTGAAAATGGGAAGGCACCCCAGGAGAGCAATGACTGGAGCATTTTCCTCGCTCTTCTTACAACTATTTTATGTGCCTCACACGCGTCCCCGGGGTCATGTTAAAAGGAGCCCGGGCAGTTTGCGCTTCATGGCTTTCATATCAGCAGCTATTATTTTATTATAAAAAAATGATATAAAAGAGAAACCCTATTAAAGTCCGAGCGACGTAACGGAAAAGCGAAGAGCAATGATCAATAGTAACACTCTACAAATATTGACCCTGGAATCAGGCTCGGAGGTCTCCCCTGTAGGAGACGCTGCACAAGTGATTTATCAACAGGACTAAAACTAGACCGCTGAATGAAAATCAATATAGAGGTTTAACAAAAACGGGCCGGCAGCTGGTTAGAGCGAGGCGTCGCAGCCTCAAAGCAGAACTCTGGTCAAAGGTAAGATAAAAATGGCCCATTACAATATAAAAACACAAAACCAGCATTAATAGTCACCTTCAATCCACAGTATTTCCCCAAAAGTATTTTTTTTTCTGCCATTAGATCAGTCTGATGACCAGCGTTACTCAAAGTACTTCCTCTGAGTTCAGGTCACCCTGTGGTTAGCGCTTCTGCCTTGCAGCACTGGGGGGTCCCTGGTTCGAATCCCGGCCAGGTCACTATCTGCAAGGAGTTTGCATGTTCTCCCTGTGCTTGTGTGGGTTTCCTCCGGGTAGTCCGGTTTCCTCCCACACTCCAAAGACATGCTGGAAGGTTAATTGGCTCCTCTCTAAGTTTGCCCTCTATGCAGGCATGTGAGATAGGGACCTTAGATTGTATGCTCCTTGAGGGTAGGGACTGATGTGAATGTGCAACTATGTAAAGCGCTGCGTAAATTGTCGGCGCTTTATAAATACCTTTAATAAATAAATAAAATAAATCTTCCCGCAGTCTGTGATTGGACTGTAAAAGGTGAAGCAGCACAGTGATGAGCCCATCTCTCGGTCACTCTGCCCTCTCCTGGAATCCCTATGCTTTTTGTCTGTTTCTTCCTCTCACGCTGTACAGGGCTGCTAGAGGTTGATACCAGGTCACATTTAGATACTTACACGGCTTGTACTGAAAAACACAGTTTATGTTCTATTTTTGATGACAGAGCTGCAATAATTTATGTCCTTTATATCTGCCTGCAGTTCAGCCTTAAAGTGGACCAGTCATTTTGGAAATAAAAAGA